TTTCGATGCAATTTATTGGAGCTTGTATCTTGCGGCTGCTGCCACCTGTCGGGGTAATGACACATGATGGGTGATTAAAGTGCAAGTCCTTAAATCAAAGCTGTGCTGAGAGTCTAGATAGGCAGAAAAAGACACTTGAAGCTTGTTTATCTCTTACAGTGGGAGGACCTCATTAGGACAAAAAACCAAAAACCAAAACCTTGTTAGACTAACAAGAGCAAATGCTTGTGTGGAGGGAAATGTTTCATATTTTCAAGGTTTAGCATAAATTTCCCTGTAGCTCTTCTCAGCATGCACATTACAAAACTACTGATTTGTTATTATGTGCCTGCATGAATTTGATTACCACAATTGCAGTTCCAGGTGGTTCTTTTTCATTTATTTTTATAAAATTTCTGCTTTTAATTTCCACTGGACAGACATCAAACCTTCCTATTGATATCTTAATCTGCATATGTCATCAAAAATATATTAAGGAACAATTGGACATTTTTCAGTTCAGGACAGAGTTATAATAAAGATTGGAACTGGGCAGAAGCTCTCAAATTATGATTTGTGAAAGCTTCTTTCACATGGCTTATGGAAAAGTTGCAGGACAGAATATCTGTAGGTGTTTTTGTCATTCATTCTGGTGGTAAAGTCTGAAGAATCCATAAACCTTAGTGGGGGACTAATGTCTTTCAGATTATGGCACTAAATAGGAATTAACATAGATTGATTTGCAGTTAAAAAAAACTATGTGATTAAATGTTTGAAAAGGAAGGTAGATGAAACAAATTCTGCATTCAATTAATCTTAGATTTCCAAACATATTATGTTCATTCAATACTATATACTATACACTTTATAAACAGAGAAAACTCCAGCTCATTGGGATCATGGCATGTTACGTTTTTTTTTAAAAAAGGATGATAAAGCCACTTTATCAGACCTGCAATATATCCGCTGTTTGTTAATTGGTTGCTGAAGTTTTGCCAAACATATAGATTCTACGTAAAATATAATTTGAATATTTAATTTTACTTTATTTTAATTTTACTTATTTTACTTTACAATGATTATAGCAATGTAGGATTTCTAGTTTAAAATTATAGTTTATGGCTTACGATGATGAGAATACTCCAAGATGATATGCTTATCTAAGGCTCTTCTAGACAGAAGTAAGGTTTCAACAGTGAAATGAGATAAACCCCTCATTATGCAGATGCCATCATAACCAGCTGCCTACCATAGTAAAATTTCCTAGGAAACATTTATGTCATCTCTGACATGTTCTCTACTAAGGAAATCCTGTTTCAAGAACTGAGTATCTGTATTAGCTCTAGGTCTTGCATTCCACCTTTCCATACTGACCTTCCCATGCTTGTGAGCATTTACTTTTGCCTTCTTTCTCTAGTACGTTCTCTGTAACAGTCTCAAATCTTAAAAGCTGAATCAAGTGACAGGCAGAAGCACAAAAGGCAACCACAGCAATTCCACTGAGACTGCTCAATTTTTATTTCTCTTCCAGGAAACTTTATTGGAAATTTACTACACTTGTTTCTTAAAAACTCACCTGTGACTGCAAAAAGTCTTTGGGTCACATCACTTGATTTAGCTAGCCCTGCTCAGGTTTTGTTTTTCTATCCAAAATGAATTTTAAAATAGTAAAGACAGTCCAGATTACTTTCAAATGTGTTTAAATTGAAAAGTTGGAAGGCAGGTAAGCTTATTACCTGATGATATTCTAATTTGCAGTAGTCACAAATATCTGTAGCTCAGGTGTAGGATGAGGGTGACGGTTTTTTCTCCGAAGCTTGTGGGTTGGTTTCTGAACGTTTCATTACCAGGCTAGGTAACATCTTCAGCAGAGTTTAGAGGATGCCAGTGTCAGTGTTCTTCTGTTTATAAGGGCTTCAGGTGTGTGGATGTGTCAAGTGGGGGTCTTGTGATGTCACAAGACCATCACTTGACACATCCACACCTGAAGTCTTATAAACGGATGAACACTGACGTCCCCTAACCTCCACTGAAGATGTTTCCTAGCTTGGTAACAAAACGTTTGGAAACCAACTCATAAGCTCAGAGAATGAACCGTCACCCTTAGTATTCTAATTCACAGATTTCTCAGTGGCATTATTTCATCTGGTTTTTAAAAAATGTGTATATCCTTCGTAGTTAATAGTTAAATTGCAGAAAAGGAAAAGAGCACAGGATTTATTACATGACCAGAATGCAATTTAACAAGCTCAAGAGGTAGAGAAATGAGATTGCTTTACTTGGATTCTCATACTGCACAGATAGAACCGTTGCTTCACTCTCCTTAATAGGAGAGTCAGTTTTGATTTTAATCTGATCTCTTGTTTGACTGAGTCCAAAACATTTTAAGAAGTGTTCAGAACTAGATTTTATCATTTAATGCTAAAATTGTGGAGAACATGTCCCCATGTATAAGCTCTTCAATCAAACAAGGGAAATATCTTTTGCAGATATGTATTAGTTTCAAATTCAAGCCATTTTTTCAAGCTATTATAATTTATTTCAACTTTCTTGTGATCTGAATTGTACTTCTTCATCCACATTAGCTTTTCTGTTGTTCTATTACAGGTAAAAATTTGTGCTGCGAGCTTCTAATTAGAGAGGAAATAGTGTGGGATGGGTGATCCAAGCAATTCATTTTGCAAGTTTAAATTCTGTATTTATTTCTAAGCTCACCACCCAGAAAAAGATGTCTATAGCACATTTCCTCCCGTTTCAATTCTGAGCATATGGAGAGGCTACTAGAAAGACACTCTGCAGACTAGACAAGCATATTATATCTGATTAATTAGCCTAGCAGGATGCATTACACTAGAATGGAGCTTGAAGCTTGCCTCTGCTAAAATGCCTGTACCACAGGACTGGAACAGATAAGCCAATAGTACAGTGTTTTTCAACCTTAGCAAATATAAGATGTGTGGACTTCAACTCCCGGTGCTGGCTGGGGAATTCTGGAAGTTGAAGTCAACACATCTTGAACTTGCCAAGGTTGAAAAACACTACAATAGTATTAGCTGATAAGAATGAAGGTGAAAAGGAGTAAGAAACCCCACAAAAAAGGCAAAAATTTGAATAAAGTATGTCAACTATCCCACATAATGATTGCTTATTACTGTACTGTATATTAAGCATCAGTTAAATGTGTATACACTGATCTAGATAAAATATGTTCTGGCATTCAACTACTATAAACCATAACTGTCATACAAAATGAACAATGGGAACAGAAAGAATGGGTGTGCTTTTCAGAATTATTTTGGGTAGCTCCTAAATCTAAATAAATTAATAAAAAAGAACTAAATATAATTTTGTTACTTGATGCTAGAAGCTTTTATTTGATTCAAAAGATAACTATCTCCTGAGAGATCTTTGCTCTAAGTTGATAAAAGATACTCTTTTATAACACATAAAACTGCATAGCTTAATCAGACATAGCTGTCAACTAAGAGGAAGCTGGAAGGTTGCCAAAAATGCCAAAAATATGGCATTTACTATCTATTCAGAACTGCTTTTAACAATTGCTTTGGAAAAATCAGCATCATCCCAATTCTAAAAAATGCAGTAACTTATCTGCATTACATTGGTCAGTTCAAGCTTAATTGGGAAAAATGGCTTCTGTTTTATAGTAAAAAGAACTAAATTGGCACTTTTTCAGATGTTTTAGATCACAATTTCCATTATGCCAACTGCGGGTAGTTGGATTTATGGAATCTGTAGCCCAAGCATCTGGAAGGCATCAAATTCTGTTACTCTAGGGAAGATCGTACTTGGGGATTTATATGATTCTGTCATATAAATTAAAGCCTTTGTATTTATCAATGAATACAATACAAAATCTAGCCACTGTCCTTCTTTCTTTTTTAATAATGTGAATTTAAGGGGGTTATAATAGCCCTTTTTAAAAAGCCAAAATAAAAGAACATTAGCAAAAGCTTTTTTAGTCTGTGTTCTTTCATTGCTTTGGTTATTAGCTGTACAACTTTCTCTACACCAAAGTGATTTGGTACATACATATATAGAAAGAGAGAGTGAGAGAGTGTGTAAATTAAGGCTGGCAGATTGAATGTTGCATTTGTCATGTCTTGTGACCCCAGGAAAAATTGATTATACAAATTCACTGTGGATTCATCACTAAAAGGGCAGCTTTTGATTAAAAATGTCCAATATTCATTCTGGGACATTTGGAGATTATTCAATTGTTGTCACTTGGCCCCCCTTCCCCTCTTTCTAAGCAAAGAAATCATTATTTAGGTAGTTTCTATTGTAGCCACACCTGAACTTAAAAATTGGCAGAACAGTACTAAAATTCTCTTCTGGTCTTGGTCCAAAAGACTTTATTCTTTGTTTAAGAACACCATTTAGGACTGTAGGCTTAAATGCAAATCAAGAAGAAAGAAAAGAAAGAAAAGTCTTGGAAATTCTACGAAGTATCATTTCACCATATTTTGAATGATGATGTTCAGAAATTTAGTTGTTTTCTTTGAATGACCTAGCAAATGCACAATTAAGAATGTATATTTGGGGCTAAAAATCACCACTTTCCAAAGCAACATAAATAAAACCTCGTGATTCTGATTTGCAGAATATGGATGATATTACTGTCATTACAATAAAGTATGAAACTCAACTGAAAGATAAGCATCTCCTGTGAAGGCATTCGGAACCTCTTTGTAGTGATCCTTATTTAAGCTCTGTCCAGGTTTAAATATATTTGCAACATTAAGATGCCTCACTGTACTCCAAAAATATAATGTTAAAGGAGCTCAATAATCTTACAGAAATGTTTTACAGACAATGTCAACTCTTCCCTTTGCCCACTTAATCTTCCTCAATTAAATTATAACCAAGTGATTCAGCTGCAGCAAGAAGAATGTGCAGGTGTGCCTTAGAATGAATGCAAAATACTTTTTTTTTTCAATTCAGGAGCTGAAAGCTATCCTTTTGCAACTCAATAGTCATTACTATCAGGAAGAAAGTCTTACTTTTAACAGTGAGGTACATGGACTTGCTGACGTCAGCCCCCACATCATTGCTGACCTTGCAGAGGTAGTATCCACTATCTTCTTCCAGAACATGCTTGATCAACAAGGAGCCATTTGTCAGAAGCTGGATACGCCCATTCAAGGCAATTGGTTGGAACTGGGGAACTCCAGCACCTATTGGTATAATTAAAAAAAATTAATCAGGAGGCAAGATGCCTGAAAGAAGTAATTGATTTGATTGCTACTGGAACAAAATTGAAATGACTTAGAAGTCATTTTAAGTATATGCACACATACAAACACATACATACATGTGAGATAGACAAAAAAATTTTTTTAAAAAAACTCCTGCAGTAATAATTGATATGGGAAGTAGACAGGGACACATTTCTAAAAATTACTTAGATTAAGAGCCATACTTGTAAATTTAGTAACTGCTAAAATATTCAAAGTTTTGCCTGGGATATCTAAAAGTGCACGCAAGGGTCATGATATTTAAATACACTTGGTCCTCAACTTATGACCATAAGTACAATCATGTACATAAGATGAGCACTACCTGTACAAATGTTATGTTCATCAAGTGGGAGTGCAAATGAGCTACAGCTTTAATGGTAGCCTCCTGGTAATTAATTTGCCATGGAACAAAAGTATACCCCAAGTTATAGCTTTGGAAAGATAACAGAAGATTTTGTCTTCTTCCCATTGTAGTGTGGCACCAAAGTTATAATCAAAGCACAATGGAATAATTTGTTTGTCAAACAAGAGCCTAGCAGATACAATACTACACTACTCTACTCTAGAGGTCTATAATCTTTTTCAAATTAAAAGATACATGATATTTTTCAGTACTGTGACAGGGGTCCAATCCCCAACATGAGTGGGGCCAAGAGAAAGAGGTGGATAGCACTAAAATAAAAATAAATTGTCAGTTAATATGACTTTTATCCTATATATTTAATATTGTCCCACTTTTACTTCCTAACAATTAGAAATTTGGGGGTAATTTGGATAGAAAGCTTTAGAGACGTTTTAGGACTGCTGGAGTTAAGTCCATATGTTATATTCCCAACAAACAGCAAACAAACAACCAGAGCTCCACAAGAATTCTACCATTTGGGAGAACAAGTACTTTCAGCCACTTTGGGACTGGATTTGGAACTGATCTCACAATATTGGCTGGTTTCAGAAGCTGTGTCAAATTATTCTGCTGTGCTCTAGTTTATTTGAAACCAGCAGTGTTAATATTTTTCTCTGAACTGTAGTGAATTTGATGAGCTTGTGGGTAGTCTATTTTCACATTCACAGGACCTCTTGCCTCACCTCTATTCCAGGTCTTAAGCTGGCTATTGCTATTCCCTTCCCAGGCACTTATACAGATAAAAGGCTCAGATTCTCCTTCTGGAGCCTAACTGCTCCATAAATTTAAAAGTATCTCCTCCATTCTGATAGGCATTGCAAAATGCAGCCAAAGTTAGAAGGTTGCCTGCTTGAAGAAATGCTGACATTTTATCATTCTACTTCTCACACCACAAAATATTTTAAATGCAAGATGGGATGGTAATTTGGCAGTTGGAAAGCCTTTGTGTGCTTTTAGCAAATACCTAAATACATGAACTAGGAGGTACAGATATTTGTTTTGTTTCTGTGTAGAGTAGGGCTGAGGAGAATAGTGGTAGCTCACAAATCAAGGAATTGATTGATACGCAAAACACTCCTCCTGTTAAACTGATTGTTTCCTATATTTCAAGGTCAACAAAAGTGAGGAACACTGAAGAAAAGGTTAAACTTTCTATGTGGACCAGATGTCCATTTGTAAATGAAAGGGGACTGCTCACTAGCACATGTATAAATCTTCTTTATTTTATTTATTTATTTTATTTATTTTTATTTATTTATTTTTATTTATCACTAACTTCTATGCCGCCCTTCTCCCCACGGGACTCAGGGCGGCTCACAGCATGTTAAAAAACAACACAAAAAACATTTCCCCTATAAAACCAATTAAAAATCAAATATATTAATGGCTGTGTCATTATTAAAATCTTTAAAAAATTTTCCCTATTTAAAATTCACGCTAGGTCAGTCCCGCTTGTTGAAAAAGCCATGTCTTGAGGGCGCGGCGGAAGGTTAAGAGATCCGGGATCGTCCGGATCTCGGGGGATAGTTCGTTCCAGAGGGTGGGGGCACCCACAGAGAAGGCCCTCCCCCTGGGGGTCGCCAGCCGACACTGCCTGGCCGACGGCACCCTGAGGAGGCCCGCTCTGTGGGAGCGTACCGGTCTGTGGGAGGGAATCTGTGGCAGAAGGCGGTCTCGTAAATATCCAGGTCCTATGCCATGGAGCGCTTTAAAGGTGGTAACT